GCAATGACAAGATGCTGAGTAGGTTGTTTTAAGCAACTAGACTTGGGATAATTTGTTATATTGCAATAGATAAACAGAACATTTCAATCTTGTAGTTGATGACTTCCATAATTGATACATATTTACATTAATTTATATCAAACATTTATTGAATACCTACCAGGTGCTCAGCACTTCTTAAAGCACTGCAAATGCAAAGATGCCTAAGACATTGTGAATGCCCTTAAGAAGCTCACAGTCTAGGGAATGTCAGCTATGCCAGCAGCTGGTCATAACATACTGGGGCAAACATTATAGCAGGGTTGGGAACAAAATGATGTAAACCATGTTGCTTATTTACACTTTTCATGGCCAACATTTCAGCCTGTACCTGGAAAAAAATGTAAGGGTCTTACATGGCATACAGGCACTATAAAATCACCCTGGAATATGGTTTGCTAAGGAACCATCTGTATATAATTGACTAAGAAAAAGTAATCCAGTGGGGGGAAAAAAAACCCAAACTTCTATTATAGAGAACAGAGCTTCAAATAAATAGCTTTGCATATTTATTTATTTTTTAAAAGATTTATTTAATTATACAAAAGCTGGGGTACAGGCCAGATGCAGGGGGTGAGAGGATTCACTAGAGACAGAGTGGGGAACAAGAACAGGCGGACTGATTGGAGTACTCTGCTGAGGGGAGCAGCGGATGAGACAGGAGAGGTCTGCCTTGCCATGTGGGTTGCTTCCTGGCCGGCCAGGGATTGAACTCGTGCTGCAGAGGCTGTGGATTTCTTCATAGTGTGGTGCTTAACCCCTTACGCCACCAGGGAGGACTCCTAACTTTGCATATGTAATTGTAAATATGAGTCCATTGAATTCCACAAAGGTGTTGAAAATCAACCCTGATAGTCTCTCTCCTTAAACTTCTTTCTCCTTATAGGACAATGTTTTGAGATACGGTGCTTCTATAATTACAAGTTAAGACATGGCTTTAGGCATTTAGGCATATTAGTGCGACTGTCATAGGAATTGTTCAGACAAAACAGCAAAAAATCCTTTGTCTTTCTGATGTCCAACCTCAAGTCCATAGTTTAATTTGTGTATGCAAACAATGAATCCAAAACAGTGTGGTGTCAAGGGCAATTTTCTCTTCCTACAGATTGCAGGTATACTTTTCTAATTAAAACTTGTCTAAGACTTCAAGATATAAAACAATATAACATAAAAATAATCTCTTTTTAATGAATGGCTACTATGTGCTAAATACACTACAGTGAATCATCTCGATAAATGCACACAACCTGACATGTTAAAGACAATTATTTTCCCCTCTCACAGATGGAACTGAAGCCGTAGAGGTTAATCTACTTGCTTGAGGTTACATAGTTAGCAAATAAGGGAAACTAGGATTTGAACTTGGACAAGTCTACTCCTGGGTCTGTGCACTTAACCTCTATTCTATCCTGCTTCCTGATGTTTCTGACTGCCCCATGATCCATAAGGGTAACTTTGAGCAGGGGGTTCTGGTGATAAAGAAAAGTACAATGGCGTGGAAATGGCCAGAGTATCCAGGTAGTTGACATTCCTCATATACCCAGAGATGTTGACATCATTTCTTCTAAGGGCAAGAGAAGTTACTTGTTTGTCTTAAATATTGACCTGCCCTGAGATTGTAAATGCACAGGTAACAGAGCAGAGAATCAACCAGCACATAAGTAGCTGCAAAATTATGTGACTTAATTATTATTTTTCTAAGATTGCTGATACTGGTTCAAATACAATTTTTCTACCTTAAAAATAGGAACTGAAAGTAGCATAACTCAATGAATTTTTATACAATGTTTATATTTTATGGAGTTATTAATCACTGGTTTTATTACTTGAGTTTCCTTTTTTCTATATTGGATTGCAGGCCACTCTCAGCCCACAGGGTGCTCTGCTCTGACTGGGTGGGGGACTTCCAAGCCTTCAGGTTTTCTACTGGATACTGGATGTGAGGAGTTAGAGTGACACTGGATCCCTAGAGCTACTCCTGTGACCTAAAAGATAGGGTCATTGCTAAGGATTTCCATAAGGCCATTTGTGCCTCCCAGGCTTGAAACCACAAGACACAGATGACGGGAGCTGACTGGGCTGGTTCCCCATGTGTTCTGACTTCCTGCTGACAGGAAGCTTCTAAGGTAATCTGGGAACATGCAGGGATCTTCCTTGCCACATGGTTGAAACTAATCCTCATTATTTCAGCCAGAGAGATGCTAACGGTCTGAGGTGAGAGGAGGTTGTTGGGGATAGAGAAGAAAACCCATAATTTGGTGACTGTGGCAGCATAGGGAAACATCAAGGAAAGTTCCCAGGTTATCTGTTGGCAGGGGGATGGGCTGTGGAGGGTGATAAACCACCAGCAGAGACAGAAGACACAGGAGAAAGGGCAGGTTAGAAGAGAATTTGAAAAACTCAGTTTGAGCAGGTTGAACTTGAGGTGCTCGTGAGACCATTTGGGACACATCTCTAGCAGATATCTGGGTATATAGTTCTATTCTAGTTATTTATTGCTACCTAGCAAACTGCAATAAAAGTCAGTGGTTTAACACAGTACTTTTATTTTTTTTTGCCTATAATTCTGCAAATTGGGCATAGTAGAGAATAGCCAGTCTCTCCAGGTGGCATCAGCGGGGGCCATTTGGCGGGCTGGAGAATCCATCTCCAAAATGGCCTCATTCACATGTTTGGCAGGTTGGTGCTGTGTCCAGGGGAGCACAGCTGGGGCTGTTTGTCAGGGCTCTTAAATTCCTTCTGTTTGTCCCACCCAAGTGGTTAGGTTAGACCTCTCACAGCAAAGCAGTATTAGAGTAACTGAATTTTTTCCATAGTGCTTCCCCCAAAGGGCAAAAATGAATACTAAGTAAGCAAGGAAAGAGATTTTATTCTGGTTATTGCAATAGGGAGAGTACCCAAATTTAAAGATCAGTATTTTGCCTTGTACTTTCACAGGGAGGAGTAGACAGGCTACCTTTGCGATGATTATATTTGGACTGTTTTGTAATCAGGGGAGTCTTCTCAGGCAGGAGAAGTTGATCTCTGTAACTAGCTAACTTCAAGGGGACAAACAGTTCTCAGTTAATCATTCATGAGGCAAAGAATGGGAAGTTGAAAGGTTTGTGTCTGACTTTGTCAACAGATTCAGGCAAAATGGAAAAAGTCTGCGTCTGGCTTGTCATTAGATGAACAAGGAGTCATCAGCTAGTTATATGAGAAACTATATGGTAAGTCTTATCTAAATGATATGGGAGAGATACTGCCCAGAACACAAACAGGGTTGTGTGTGTGTGGGGGAGGGGGGTTCTTAATTGTCTGTTTTCCAGGATTACAGAATTTGGTGAAGTTTGATGTTTGTGTGAAGCCTTCCTAAGGTCTTGGCCTGGAACAGGCACAGTCATTTTTATTTCAGTCTACCATTCCAAGCAGGTGACAGGTCTAGCCCATTTTGAAGGGGGAGAGAATCACACCAGAGTGTGAATAGTGGGGGATATGGCTCACTTTGGGTTAGCAAATTAACAGTCTCCAGCAGAACCTGAACCTTGGGCTGTATGCATAGAAGGGAGTGCCTCCAGTATAGTCTGAGATGGTGGCTGGCCCTATAGTGTGAAGCCACTTTGTGAGGGAATACATTGGTGAGTGTGGAAAAAAGTCCATCAATGTTATTGACATTTGAGAGTGGAGTCTTGACGGCTGTGATTTTCCTAGATTCTCAGAAGCCCTTGTTAATGCTGTTGGTTGATCAATATATTTATCCAACATTTTTTGGGATTTTGAGACTAGTGCTGTTACTTGAAGATCATCTCAATAGATACTAGTTTAACAATAGTGGTGACTGGTCTAGCAAGAACTGCCAGTCAGTGTTTACATTTTAATTATTTGCCCTGATTGAATGTGGCCAGTTTCACTAACTTAGCCTGTCCAGCTTTTTCACCAAGCAAGGGCAAACATAAAGAGAGGGAGTTATCCCTGGAAAGGGGAGCATCTGTCTGTCCATAAACAAAGTCCTTCACACAGGGCCTCTCTCTAGAAGCTAGCAAGCTTTTGGAAATTTGACCTTTTCCTGCCTTGGTTTTCTTTTTCTGCACCCAACGGTATCAATTTCCTTTGGAGCTCTTTGTGAAGACAGCCAATAGAGACCATAAATTTTATTTTACTAGGTGAAGCGTTTATCGCCCAATTAGCATTGTCATTCATGGGCTTTCATATTGGAGAAACTCACACTGGCATCCACGTGCTTGGGTTAAGGGAATCTGAAATCATGATTAAGTAGAGGTCGAAGGCAACTAGGCACAGGGTTGCCTGCACTCTGATAGTCATCAGCCTTTATGGAGATTACACAAAGCTGAAGGCACATACTTTCCTAGGTTATGAGAAGTAAGATAAAACCTGAGCTTAGCTTTGCATGTATTTTTAAAAATAACATATTTGTAAAGGTTTCTTCTGAAGTAGACCTAATGCAAATGACTCTCCCAGAACAAAGCGGGGTGTATTTGAGAGGAAGTGGCAGCAAGGGTCTTGAAGCACGAATAGGAGTCTACTGAGTTACAGAAAAAAAAATGTCTAAAGAAAGGCAATTTACATGCAGCAAGAAAATGTAAATTCTTGGGCCAGAGGGCAGGCCTCTTGGCGGGTGCTGGGGCTGACTTCTCCCTTTCGGTTCCCTCCTGACTAGGCGGAGGTAAGCAGAAAAGCGAGGTCCCTGCAGCGGCTGCACCTTCCAGCTGCGCCTCAGACAGGAGGTTGAGCAGAGCGGCCTCCGCGCATGCGCCCGGGCAGCCCGGTAGGCTCGGCCAGCGGCTCACTCTCCACCTCGCGTTCCGCGAGGGCCCAGCCGACCCGGCCCCCAGTGCGAGCGCGTCGCGCGCCCGCGCCTGCGCACGAGCGTCCCGGCGCGCGCGCCGCGGGGTTATTAGAGGTGGCGCGCGGAGAGGGCGCGCGGCGGGAGGCGGCCGCCGTTACGGCGCGGGCGTGATCACGTGGTCGCTGGTCACCAGCGCCGCCGGCCCCTCCCGCCCTGTTCTCTTTCTGGTCGGGCTGGGCCCGAGTGGTTCCACGAGCGCCCGCCCGGCAGAGACTGAGGGAGAGAGAGAGAAAGAGGAGGGGAGGAGAATTCAGGGCATGGGAGCTGGGGAGCCCTTCTGCGCCACAGGTAACACCAAATAACCATGACGATACCCAGAGAAGAGCTGGCTCGGGCCCCCGAGCGCCTCTGCCGCCCTCCAGTGCAGCCCCACACGCATCCGCCTGCCCGGCCGCCCTCTCCGCCTCTCAGGACCAGTCCTGCCCGCTGCCCCCTCACGGGGAGGCCTGGGGGTGCTGCTGCCACCGCTGCCATGGCGGACGGGGTAGTCGCAGCACCCCCAGTTTGTGCGCCTCTCGGAGGGGCGTGGGGGGGGGGTGGCGGGGGGGGGGGCTCCCCAGCCCCGGGGCGGGCAGGGAGGGCCGGGGGCTGCTCCCCTGCTGGCCGGCCTCCCCTCCCTCTCCTACCCCCAACCCCGAGGTGGGGGTCCTGGTGCAGGACCAGCTGCGGAGAGAGGGCAGAGCCTGGAGGCTGATCCGGGCGCCACTTCCTACTTGTGAATTTCCTGTGCATTTCGGCCCTGGCGGCTCTGCAGGCTTCCTTCGCAGGCCGGAAGCAAAACAAGCAAAATGGGCCCAAACCCCCCAAACCATTGAGAATGCAGCCTTTTCGAAGAGTGAAGCCTTTTCCCCTTTGAGGGAAGGAACGTGACCTTGTTTCAGTCCAACTTGAGTTTATTCACCTGTGAGAACGAGCACGTTGAGGTGTTTCTGGAAATGAGAAAAACTTTGCAGAGGGTGAAACTGACTCTTCACCCCCTCCTGCCCCCTCCCCGTGCTGGGGAAAACTTAACACAGACCTTCAAGAACAGTTTTCAGCTCTACAAGGGATCTGAAGTTTGTTCAGTATTAGCTGTTTCATTGTTTCATTTCCAGAAATGTGAGCTATGTCCGAAGTTTACACCCTTTAGATTTTTTTTTTCCTTAGTGCCTTTTGGGAAAGAGTTTTTATTTGTTATCTCCGAGTTGGACTCGCTTCCTGGAGTTTTAACTTGTAGGTTGCACACCCTGCCTTTGGGTTGGATCGCTCTAAAGTTTCTAGACCCAGTCATTCTTTGGTACTCTCCGTGGAACCGAAATACCGGTCCGGTAAAACTAGGTTAGTGTTGTGCTATTGCACAAGATGCTGACATAAAGCAGGAAACGTTCATGTAGGCATTGTTCAAAATAAAATTGAGCACTCTTTTGATGTTTTGGTTATTAAAGAGCTTTTCTGATTTCATGTCTTGGTAATTTTCATATCTGTTTCTGAATGCAAGTGTAAACTTGAGCATTTTAATATTTATAAACACCGCCTGCCGTAGACTCAAGTAGACAGTTTCTCAGACTTTATTGTGTATAGGAATCCTTGGGGGCTCTTGTTTAAAGATGCAAGGTCTGTGCTGCAGCTTGCTAAGAGTGCATTTCGTGTAAGCTCGGTGCTGCTGGACAAGTTACCATCCTTGAGTAGTATGGAATGACTTATCAGTGAACAAGTGCGTTTTAATTCACCTTGGGTGTGGATGTGTCTTCCAAGGAGTGGCCTCTTGAGGAAAATGGCCTACCAGGAGATGCCTTGTACAGAGTGAGCAGGCCAAGTTGGGATACTAGGGGAAGGGGTATACAAACGGGGTAGGGAGGGCTGTTCCGGCCATGAGAAGTGTAAGGAGTGCGTATTACGTGGAGGCAACATCGCCTAACCTGTGATTTCTCTGTAGATGCTTGGTGGTCTTCTAGCTGAAAAACTTGCTCAGCCTTGCTCAGTTGGATTTTTTTTTTTAACATGTAGGCTGAGTCATGTGTCTCTGAAGGCGCTGCTGGGATGAAAGTTTCTCTGTTGGTGCAAGTATTGAGTGTGTGCTCTCTTCTCTCATTCACATAAATGCAGCCTCCATTAAGTAGTGCGTTCCTAAACCTTGGAAGCAAGCTTGTAAATGGTTGAGGGTCTTCAAAACTCGATGCAGATTTTTTCCCCCACTAGTGTAACTTTTGAAAAAGTTAAATTGAAAAGTTTAAAAGTGTCACACAGAACCTAATATATGCGTTTTGTACCAAAAAAAAAAAAAAAAAAAAAGGTGGTCTGGATTATGTTCTTTGTTTTTGTTGAGTCTCATCAGCTTTTTGTGATCAGTCCTTTATCGTTAGTGTTGGGTGCAAAAATGTTCTCCCAGTCGCTGGGGTTTTTCTTTGTTTTGGTTATTGTCTCTTTTGCTGTGCAGAAGCTCTTTAATTTGATGTAGGCCCAGCTGTTGATCTTTGCCTTCACTATCACTGCTTTGGGTGATGCGTCTGTAAAGATGTCTTTTTTTTTTTTTTAAAGATTGATTTATTTATTTATACATGCACTGGGTACAGTCAGAAGCGCAGGAGGGTGAGAGAATTCACCAGAGCCAGAGCGGGGAGCAGAGCAGGCAGAAGGACCGAAGTACACTGCTGAGGGGAGCAGCGGGCGCCATGTGGGACCCTCCCATGGTGGCCGGGGAGCAGCCAGGGATTGAACCAGCGCTGCAGAGGCTGCAGGCAGCTTCACAACCCAGCGCTCAACCGCTGTGCCACCGAGGAGGCCCTGTAAAGATGTCTTTGAGGTGCATGTCATGTAGTGTTTCGCCTATATTTCCTTCTATATATTTTGTGGTTTCTGGTCTTATGTCTAGTTCTTTAATCCATTTTGAGTTGGTTTTTGTGCATGGTGTGAGGTAGTAGTCAAGCTTCATTCTTTTGCATGTAGCGACCCAGTTTTCCCAGCAACATTTATTGAACAAACTTTCTTTGCTCCAATGCATAGTCTTTGCTCCTTTGTCAAAGATTAGTTGACCATAAATCTGTGGGCTTATTTCTGGGTTCTAGAAAACCTAAATAAGGGACCAGGAAAAAGAATAACTAAAAGAAAGAAAAAAATCAAAATCAACAACCAACTATGAACCAGAGACACACTTTGGGTGGAGGGCGGAGAGAGGAGGGGTTGGGGTCAAAATCAGGGGGTTGCAATTGTATGGGCAATATAAAAATAAATAAAATAAAATAAAAAAAAAAAGGTTGTACTTCACTTACCAAAAAAAAAAAAAAAAAAAAAAAACCAAACCTATGGATGTATAATATCAACTGCTTTTAGTACTGTAAGTTTTACAGTTTCATTCTAGTCTTTACTTTGCCATTGTTTCTTAATGTTATTAAGTAATATTTATCATGTTAACGGTAATTTTTAAGCACTTACTAAGTGCCAGGCACTGTTCTAAGTACTTACGTTCTTAAGTGATTTATTATCACAACAACTCTTAAGGAAACTGAAGCAGAGAGAGGATAGAAGTCCCACACTGCTCAGGTTTAGCCTGCTAACACAGAGCTGACTCTGTTACAGAGCAGCCCCGATATTGAGCGGGTTGCCTGGCTGTGGGTCCTCACCTGCGCCCTTAAAAGGGACTTATTTATACTCCACTACAGGCACACACAAAAGGTTAATAAAAGGTTTATTTACAAGGGAAAAGGAAATAAGGAAAATGTACAACTCAGGGAGAAAATAGGGAAATAAAGTCTTTAATACGTCCTACCCGATCCGCCGACCTGGAAACCCAAAGTCACTCTCCGAGCTGGCCGGACGCTGCGAGCTGGTGGAGAGCCAAAATGGGGGATCCCCCCAAAACCCACGTGGCTGCCTTTATACTAACTTGGCTGCTTAACCCCACCCTCAGGTCCCAGCCACCTTCCCTTTGGTGGTGATGGGATGTGGAGTTCCCAGTGTCTTTGGCTTTGGCCTGGGGTGGGGGTGGAGTCCACAAAGCCTGTATGGAATTAGCTTTAGGACAGCCTTTCCCCCTAACAACTCCAGAGTCCAGGCTTTTTGGAAATCTCTGTGTTGCCTTCCTAGAAGAATATGAATGTCAGTCTTTTTATTCCCTTTTCCAAATATTGTCAAGTATGAGCTTTATTTTCATTTGAAAATTCAAAATTGTCATCCTTTAAAAAAAATTCCTTTTATCTTAGTTTAAAATGAGGAACTGCCTCATTGCTTGTAATCTTTTCTGAATAAGATATTGAAATCTGCAAAGTTTAGTTTGTTTGCTTATTTGCAGGACCAGATTCTAAGTTTGTGTCACTGTTACATGTCAAAGAAACATTTGCTTCTGTTTAACTGTAAAGGTTTCAGTTATTTACTTGCTGGCTATGCTATCCCTTCAGCCCCACCCCCAGGTGTACATGGTAAATGTATTCTATATTTGTTATCCTAATATTTAATATTAGATTACTGACTTTTGGCCAATAAGGACAATTAAAAAAAAGAAACCTGAAGCACTGGTTATTGTTATCATAACACTGGAAAAAAAATGAAAACCTCAGAATAAAGGATAATATTTTAATTTGAAAATTTTGTTTTAGATTAAAATTAATATATTGTCTGTCTCCCATACCCCTTTTATCTTGGACCATCAAAGCTTTGTCCTATACTAGCACCCGCTGTGGAATAGTGCGTGTCCAGCTTGTCTAAGAAATTTTTTTCTACGTGGACAGATAACTAGAATGGTAGGAACAGGCCTTGCTTGTACAAAAACTTGAGAAATGAGAGGTTGCAGTTGGGGGCAATTTTGAGAGTGGGGAAAGTTGTGGGAGGGTGAATAAAGAGGGGGAGCATCTGAGATTCCAGTAGCATTGATTATTAACAGTGATAAATGAGTTCGGGGATAAATGAGTTTGGGGAGGAAATCAGTAAGTCCCTGTTGTAAATATTTTTTCAAAGCTCAAATTCTGTTATTGTGAGGTCTGTTGTAATGACATGCTGGTCTGTTCCTTTGCCTCACCTTCTCATTTAAAAAATAACAATAGCGACATATATGTAATATATTTAATACTTAGTGTTTGGCACATCATTTATGCTATCATGTGTTAACTATTACATTGTAGGAATGACCTGCAGTGTTGATCATATTCACAGAATCAAGTGTGACTGTTTGAATATACTTCATGGAAATTTTACATTTGTTTGATACAATGCTATGAGCCAAGGAAACAGAAAGTTTGTATTTTTTAATGAAAATGAGAAAGGATATAGTAACACTCATGCTTTTGAACAATTAAGTATGAATAAATAATGGTTTAAAAGCTCAGCTCTTTTAAAACAAAGGAGACTGGAAATAACAGATCTTTGGTGATGGTATGCAAAGGCTGATTTAAAATTTTCCGTGGTATTGTTGTGAAGCCTTGTGAACAATGTAACGGTTTTTTTCTGGAGGCATCTCTAACTATAACTTTTACCTTCCGACACTGATTATTTTGGCCTTTAAACAATCCATCTTTCTTTAAAGCATTCTCCAGATCTGGTCCTGTCTGAAACTCATGGTTGTGTATGTATCTCTGAAGTAAAAAAACTTTTCAAATTTTAGAAAATTAATATGGTACATATGCTGTATATCATGACACCTCCTGTGGACAAGAGCAATCACCCCCTACTTGTATACATTAGTTTTTCCAGTAAAATTACACATACACTAAGTAGCATAGTGAAAGACTCCAAAGAGCCTCACATTAGTTAGGCCATGTTTAGTCAACAACTTAGACAACAATTTTTAGTTTTTAGAGATGTTTGGATTTTTGGAATTGGAGATAAGGGGTTGAGGTCTGCATGTGTTTTATATTCATCAAAGTGTCTGTCTCCTTGACAAGAACTGGAATGTACTATGAGTTGTCCTCTATTCTTGGACACCTGGATACCTTTCAATCTTTGTCACATGCCGTGCAACACTGGATATTATTATAACTAATATCCTTCTGTACCTATGCATTATTATTTGGGAAAAATGGTGAGTGAAATATTGGGTCAAAAGAGATGCCCATATTTAATAGTTTTGATAACACATGGTCAGATTGTTCATCAGAAAGTTTGTACCAGTTTACCCATTACTATAAATTTGTTTGAGAGGGCTCTGCCTCCCATTAATTTCCTCGCTATCTGGAAATGAACATTCTTATTTGGTATGATTTGGTAGGCTATATTTTGGGCCTGTGAATGCTCAAAAAAATTCCATATAATTCTGACATATTTTGATATGTTATTGCTGTGAAGAGATCTACTCACCTCTCAAAAGGATTTTAAAATATCTGGTAAACCATTCTACCAACTGATTTCTGTTATGAATTGACTATTTGCCACCCCACCACCCTCCCCAATCATCTGTTTGAAATCCTGCCATCCACGTGATGGTGGGATTAGGAGGTGAGGCTTTAGGGCAGTAGTTAGGATTAGATGAGGTCGTGAGAGTGGAACCCTAATGAATGGGATTAGTGCCTACAAGAGTCATGAGCGAGCTTGTGTCCTCTCCCAGGCTCATGAAGATACAGTGAGAAGTTTCCAGTCTGCAGTCTGGAAGAGGACCTTCAACCAGAACTCAAATGTGCTGGCATCCTGATCCCAGACTTTGCCTCAGAACTTCAGTGTTGTCACTGAATATCAGTGTTTGTTAAGGCCCACCTTATCTATGGTAGTTTATTAGAGCAGCTGGTACTAATACAAGAATCCTAGCTCAGAAGTGTTGTGATTCTACTTTTATGTCAAGAGTCCTGATAGTATACACAGCATTCTGGTACTTTAAGTTAAAGTGATTGCAGCTTTATTATTGTGGTGTCTAGCTCCACCTCCCAAGCAATTATGCTGAGGTTTTGCATTTTTATCTTCTTAGAGCTTGATGATTTTTTTCTGTGTGGTTTGGCAGAAATTAAAAGAGTAGACTAATACAGTGATCAGAGTCTGTAGACATTGTATTTGCTTGTTTGCAGTATCAAGTATCAAGATTTTCTTTTTCTAGTCAGGTGGTGTAATTTTCTTTTCCTCATGGTGAATTTCTTTTCAAGCTTTGAACCTGCTGTGGTCTACTGACAGTTCTTCAAGCTCAATTCTATAACTGTCAAAGGTGGGTGTACTGGAAGCCACTGGGAAGTGACAAATAGACCAGAAGGAGGTGACGACGGAACAGAATTTAGAGGAGAAAATGGCTGACATCCAAGTCACTTCACTTTTTATTCCCCTGCCTTTCTGGACTCCTTTGATGCTGCCCTTTTAAAAATCTTCTGGCTTCCTATGTATTCTCCAGATATACCTTGCTTGCTTTCAGAGAATATCTCCTCTACCTTCTTTCTACTTTGATCAGGAGTTTAAATGCTTCCCCCCTGTTTGGAGGTAGTCAGATTAGTCCCCCTGATATCCTTCCTTCTTTTCACTCTCCTGTAAAATGCTGACGGGGCCAGCATGCATCCTGCCTTGCAGAGTGTGTGAAAAACATTGATTGAACTTGGATTTCCTCATAAAATAAAGCCTTGATTAGGCAAATGTTAACAAAATAAGAAAGATACTTTGTAAAGACACAGTGTCAATTTATGGAATTGTAACTGAGTGGTTCAATACTGTCCAGGAGAGTGAGAGGTCAGTGTTAGAAAAACATTTCTGGAGTCTGTTTAACTTAGATATCCAACTCTGATTTCTTCCTTGAACTTCGGTCCTGTATCTGACTGCCTATTGGATAACTTCAGTTTGGGATGGTCCATAGAAAACTGAAATTCAGTGTGGTTGCAACTGAATTTGCCATCTTTTCTTTAAAAAACATACTCACCACCCCAGGTTTTATTATCTCAGTGAAACCTGGCAGACACATCTTACTCCCTGGCTCTGTGGATTCTACCTCTTGAGACCATTGTTTCTTTATCCCCATTAATTCTATTCCGGTAGATGGTGTGTGGATCTACCAGATCTAACATCTCTTGCTTCCTAGATCTTCATCTTTGCTATGGCTTTTGTAAGGTTTTCTGACTGATGTTTTTGTAGCTAAGTGATCTTTTTTGTAGCTTAAGCTCTCCCCGATTCTTACTCTACAGCTTAAAACCCTTCAACACTCTTCTCACCTGTTTCTTGATATTATATCTTTCAGACTCTGATTTTGTAATAAAGTATTGAAATCTTTGAATTTTTTGCAATTGATTATGTTTTTGCTTCCTTCAAGTGTGGAATAGTCTCTCTCTTGGTTTTACTGACTCTTGTGAGGTCTCAGTTTAAATGCTACTGCTCCAGGAAGCTTCCTTATACCACTGAGTCTGTGTTGTATCCTCTCTATTTGACCAGATACCTTTTACTACTCTGTCACATTTATTTTGTATTACAATTGCCTTTTTACTTAGTAGTGTGTGTCCCACTTTAGCTACTCTGCCAAATGCCAGGGGCGTCATCTTTATTCACACTTCTCGTGCTTTGCCGATTAAAAGTAGATGTCCCGTAGCAGTTACTGTTCCAGGTGCTGAAATTACAGCTGTCAGTAAGAGCCTATTGCTGTTACTAACTGCTGTGTGATAAGCCATGTCATAACTTAGTTTAAGACAATTTTAATTTACTCATGATTTTATAATTTGTATAGGACTTGGTGAGGGTCCTTGGTGAGGGTAGTTTATCTCTGTTTTACTTGGTGTCAGCTCATTGGAGGTTAGAATACCCACTTCCAAGATGGCTCATGCATGTGACTGACAGTTGATGTCACTGCTGTCTGGGAGCTCAGTGAGGGCTGATGATGAAAGTTAATTATGATAAGCTTGAATTTTTAGGAATTCAGTCCAAAAAAATACAAAGAATGTATTTAAAACTTTAGTTTAAAACTTTAAGTTAAGTAAAATTATTATTCTTCAGTAACACAGAACTATCTGAGGACTCTCAATTACTGTCATTTCAGTTGAGACTAATTTCTATAAAATATTACATAGACATCGGTTTTCTTTGCTTTTTGTTTAGAGTTGAGACATGAAATAGAATCTTATAATGTGGGATCACTTGTATACCTTGCAAGTAATTTTCCAGGTTTTTATTCTTTATGCAACATCTAGACATTTCCCTCATTGAGTAGTAATAACAATGTAGAATATGTTAGCTGATTGCATTTTTAAAAATATTTACTTATTTATGCATAGAAGAACCAGGGTGTAGGCCAGAGGTGCCCGGAGGGTGAGAGGTTTCACCAGAGACAGAGTGGGATTGACTGAAATACACTGCTGAGAGGAGCAGAAGCGAGACAGGAGAGGTCTGCTGCGCTATATGTGGGTTAGCTCCCTGGCTGGGTATCGAACTCAGACTATAAAGGTGAAAGCACTGAGACTTAAACCCTAGACACCAGGGCGGCTCCCTCTGATTGCATTTTTCAACCACACCTATCAGTAAAATTAATAAATTGTACACTGAAAGAAGTTTTTATTCTTGGAGCATGATGTCATTTTTAGAATGTTGGTTATAGTAATGTTATATTTATAGCTTTTGAGTTTATTCAGGTTACAGTAAAAACTAAAAATAAATTAGTCATTTTTTGTCTTTTAAGAAATTCTGGGATCTCCAATAAAATACTTTGAAAATGATTTGGGTAAAAATAGTGACACGATTTTATCTAAATATAAACATGCACAAATGCTTCCTATTAAGCATCTTAAGTATTTTAATTATTTATCTTAGACTCTCATGTGATGCAGAAATTGAGCAGTAGCAAGCTTTTGTGCAGTGAGATCATGTGATGCTGGTATTGATGCAGTGCTGCCTTTGATCTTGGAGGTAATCCCTTGTAATCACAAACCTTAAAGGATGTTAAGATGATACTTCCTAAATTGATATATTTTTCACTAGTAAAAATACATAGGATTAAAAAAGATAATGTATGAAATACATGTGGACTTCTTATTTCTTGTTTACACTTGACTTTGTATTTCATATTTTGAGCTTTGATTGTTTATATTCCACAGTCAGGTAGTTTCTTTTTAACAAGTGGTTATACTATGGGGAAAATTATAGGTTACTTTGGAGTAAGACCAGTTTTATCTTTTATCTCTTGCAATCTTTCATATTTTGAAAATGAATGTTATTTCATGATACCAAACTCTGAATCAAAGCCAGTTCTCATAGGAATAGATGAGTGTGTTAACTAGGGTTTATTCTCTTATCACTTCAGTGCTCTAGTCTGGCTTTTTTGCAGAGCCAAAGACATTTTTAGATAGAGTTGTATCATCACATTCTACAGCACTATTAAGAAAACTAATAAGCTAAACAGCAGCAATCCAGAAGTTTTAATTCATTTGTTGGTCCACTAAAAATAAAAACACAACTCTAGGTAAATAGGCTCTTCTAGTTTGTAATGATTACTTATGTAAAATAATGATGCCAGCAAGTTTTAGTAGGTTACTTTTGTGGTGTTTTGCTGAGAAAATACTTCATTTATGACATTCTAAGTAAAATTCTATATTTTTAGTGAAAAGCAAAATCCTATAGTCTCTCCTTAATGACTTAGCAATGTGGGTGACTAATGTAGAATTCTTTGGAAAATGCTAACTTGAAAAACTAGATTTGTTATTTCTGAATAATAATTCTTTTATAAAAAAGTTTACAGAAGAAATTACTCAGAAATCATTGTAGTGTTGAAAGGATCAGTGAAAAATATGGTGAGAACAAATCTTTTATAATTAGGTGAATTGCATGTTAAAATTTTCAATATTGGTGATACCAAGGAATTGTTAATCTTGTTAGCTGTGATAATGACATTTTAATTATGTAAGAAAAGATCTGTAGGTTTTATATTTTCTTAGTATGTAGGGGTAAAATGGCAGGCTTGGGACAGGTGAATAATAAGAAAATTTGATAATTTGCTGAGTCTGGGTCATGTGTTTATGAGTTCATTATTTAACTTTCACTTTTGTATATGTTTATAAAACCTAATTAGAGGCCCTAGGGCTGGGGGAGGGGAAATAGAAATTAATTATTTAATTGGTACAGAGCTTGGGATGATGACAAAGCTCTGAAAAAGAGTGGTAAAGATGGTGATGCACATTGTGATGCACTTAATGCTACTGAATTGTATAATAAAAAATGATCGAACTGGTAAAAGTTATGTGTATTGTACCATTACCAACTATAAGTACATTAGTAAAAGTAGTGTCCAAGAACTATCATACTTTAAGGAAAATCTTTGGGGGCATATGGTACCTTTTCTATTCCCCATTAACTTTTTCCTCCATCAGTATAAAGTGGAAAAGGAAGGACAAGCCGTCATTGCAGCACTTCCTTGACGGGGTCGGGTTCTATCAGCGTTCTTCTAAATGTCCGGTAATGGTTTATAAAGTCATCTTAGTGGGTTGCTTACAGTATTAAAAAAAAAAATGAGAAAATATCAAAGCCATTTTGCATAATAAATACGCAAAATCACAAACATGGTTGTAAACTTTTCCCTCCAGTTACGTAATATATCTGTTTATTTCTCCAGCTCTCTAATTCTCTCTCTACACTGACTTGTTATGTTAAATGCATCCTTCAGGGGAGTGGCATTTTAAAAGAGGAGGCCTATGGAGGCCATCGGTGACTACATAGTGACTAGAAAACCAATGTGAAATTTGCACAGAGAGGTTAGTATATAACTTAGATTCCTCCTCATTTCCAGACATTAATCTGACAACTGGGAGGAATAATTAAGCAGGAAAATCTGACAGGGCTATGCTAGCAGTGTCTGGTGACCGCCATGCATAGCACAAAGTGAAGGGAGTTGGAGGGACGGTGGCTTGGAGACAATGATCTTACTTTAGAGCTTTCATAGCACTAAGAAATGCTTATTGATTTATTGGTAATTATGAACTGTTTCAAAGAAGGGCCTTTTTCTAAGTATTTACAGTAGATGCTAAGTAAAACTATATTCCTACAATATTTTTCATGTTAAAATGTGTGAAAATTTGATAATATTAAATCCAATAAATGTTTGCTAAAGATTGTCATGTTGTTTTAGCTTTTCTTTAAAAAGTTACTTTCTGGTTCATTTTTTAGCTTGAAATCACCCACAGGGCATATTGTTACAGAGAAAGCAAGGGGGAACAGTAATAGAACCAAAGACTGAACTCAAATGTTGTGTCTACTGTATACTGGTTAAGTAGTTCAGAAAAATTATGCAACTTTTTGAGTTTCCATTTCCTTACTGTGAAATTGCTTTATAGGATTTTAACTGTGGGGTGATTTATTCAGAATGCCTGACTTCGTAGTTGCTGAGGAAATGCTTGTTCTTAGTTACATCAGGCCCTTCTTTGCGGCACTCATTCTTTCAGAGTTTGTGATCTGAATTTCATCTTTCGCTTTAATTTGGGGATCATTGTCTAACATATTTCTGTGGAGATTAAGAATAAACAAATTCGGAGGTTAAAGAATATTTATAAGATAAAAAAGTGTATGTTCTCTGCTAGAAGTATTTTATTTCCTGAAATGTTTTGTGAATGGTGAGTAAATTCTGAATTATTTCATTAGCCTAGCTCTATTTAAAGAATTTTATGTCATGATTTCATGCAAAGGGGAGTTGAGAAGTCTTGTAATCAGTTAATACTGATCTGTTTACAAATTGTCATTTTTTTCTTATGTTTACAGCCATTTTTCAACTTTAAAATTTGATGATCTTTAAAAAATTTTATGAAATAAAATTGGTGGTTCAAGGTATATCTTTCAACAGATTAGTCTAGTTGGATTTGTCTTGAAAAAGGACTGAATTTTGTGGGTTTAAATGATAAGTCACTGACAGGAGGTCTTTAACATTTTTTTCCCTCTGAACAGATGTCTTGGCCTGCAGTGACTCCAAATCCCATAATCTTTCCAATTTTTCCTTCTACTAAATAAGTTTTTTAAAAGTGACATTTTTATTATAAGTGATTGACTTAATTCAGGCAAACATTGTAGCTGAGGAAAGACTTCGGCTGTGAAGAACTCTTTGGTATGAATAAAATGTTAGATGCTTTATTTTTACTTCTAAGAATTTAATGCATGGTGATTCTCTTGCTCTCACTTCAGAATATTTTTGTGTAATAAGCTTTCTTCAAGATTAAAAGTTTTTATGTTCAGTATTTACACTATTTGATATGTTATATTTTAAATTTAAAAAGAAAATGTCAGGAGCTATCCAGAAAATAGTATAACACTTGGAAGCCTCTATGTTACTTTTAAGGCTGGATGAGAAATGGTGGTAATACCAGAGTACAGATAGTAGGCGTGCGTGCGTGTGTGTGTGTGTGTGTGTGGGTGGGGGGGGGGGAGTAGGGGCTATAGCTGGGGCTTCATATGGAATGCTGGGACATCAGCGGGTAGGACTGTCTGGAGGAAACTGGAGTTACGAAGAGATAAAACTTCTGCCAAGAGTGTCACAGGATGTTAGAAAGTGGAGGAGGAATACTAGGGCTTCTCTTCTGACTTCTAATAGGCAGTTGCCTATGATCCGGAGCAGCACATAAGCCTGCAGAATGGACCAGAAAACATTTACTTGAGTAGCCCAACACCTATGTTGCTAGTATGTAATAGTCACCAATACACCTGAGCACCTGTGTAGCATTACCTATTATAGGCATTTTGCTAAAAGCCTCCCAAACTAGAAAAGCCTCTTCATTTTTTCTTGTATGCATAAATAAATAAACCTTTTAAATTTAAAAAGATCTACATTTCAGTTCAGGTAAAACATTCAATGAATGGGCATATTCTGTAAATGAGCTACAGAGTTGAAAACACTTGCTTCCTGGTTTGTGATATTCAAGTCTCCTGTCAGAAAGTATTTTTTTAGAATTTTTTAAAAATTTAAACATTTTTAATAAAAACAATTGTAGTGGAATGTATGATCAGTTAGAGAGAGATGCATTTTTAAAAAAAGATTTTTGGTTTTTTGTGTGGAAGAACTGGGGTATACGCCAGAGGTGTGGGGGGTGAGAGGATTCACCAGAGACAGAGTGGGGAGCAGAACAGGCAGATTTACTGAAATACACTGCTGAGGGAGCAGCAGGTGAGACAGGAAAGGTCTGCTGCATGATGTGGGTCAGCTCCCTGGCCTGGGATTGAACTCAGGCTGCCACTGCAGCCCATCTAGGTGGTGGCGCTGCGACATAACCCCTAGGCCACAGGGGAGGCCCTAGATCCATGTTTTTGTAGGAACTCAGAGGAAGATCCGTTAACCCAGCCTTGTCATTTATGGAATGCTTTCAAAAGTTAGAAACTTGAACTGAGATTTAAAGCAGATTTAGAAGAGCTCTGCTGGCTGGAGAAGCTTGAGTAAAGGCTCAAAAACTTGGGAGAGATGAAAGTATGTACAAGAAATTTCAGTCACAGTTGATGGAGACCCATAAAGGAGCATAAAATAGGACTGGGCAGCCAAGGTGAGGCCAGGTTTTTTTCACTGTCAAACTGAGAGGCAGCTGTGGAAAGCATGGTGGAGTGGCCTGAGTAACTTGGTTTTACTGGCACTTTTTCCTGAGTGTGGGGAGAGATGAGTTCGGGGGGGTGTTGTCTTGTGAAGAGATGATGCCAACTGAGCAGGCAACAGAGGAGTGATGGACACAGACTCTTGAAGCTGTCTCCATGTCTAGAGTCCTTCATTTCATCCAGGTGCCTCCTAGCACTGTGCTTCTCAATCCATGCCTGACTTTGATATAACCTTTTATGTTAATTAAAAATTCAAAATAAATTTAATATAACTTTCAAAAGTAAGGGAATAGACAAAATGCTATTTTGTCTTTTGTTACTTGTTCCTCTTAAGAATTAGTGTGCTAGGGTTAGAAAGAGGGGTAACTCACAGACTTTGCTCCCTAGAAGCAGGCTGAGGAACCACTTAGATGTAGTATCTTCAAGGTGCTGGAAGGGTGCTTTGCTCTCCTGGAGCCAGGTGACTGCTGTGTTACTGAAGTGTTATGGGATACAGTAATTTCACAGGAACTTGAGAAAGATTTCCTGTATTCCCTAATTTAGCTTCTGATATTGAAGAGTGACAGATTTGCAGTGTGACATTTAATTTTAGTAAATATATCTTTTAAAATACCAAAATCCTGCATTTGAATAAGATCCACTTTACACATCGATTTCAATGTATATTCTTTAATTTATTCTGATAATAAACGTGAGATAGGTGTTATTATTAGTGCTATTTTTCTTTTTCAGTTCTTATTTAAACTCTAGGGGGATATCTACTATTTTATAGAAGAGCAAGACAGAATTTTTGGCCTCAAGAAGCTATAATCTAATGGAGGTCAACAGATATTGTTATAATACCAGGTCGAAGAAATAAATAGAAATATAAACACTGTATTGAAGAAATTTAGAGAAAGAAGTTATTTGCTGTATTTTACTGTATCTGAGGCTTACATTTCTTCATCTTAACCTTTCTAAAATTGGCAGATGTCTTTCAATTTGATGGCATCTTAGACTTGAGAAACGCTGCATGTTTGGAGAGAATAATAAAGGCACATAGGTCTTAAAGGATGAGGAATTTAGTTGTGGGGAATGTTCTCAGAAAAAATATCTAGTTGAGAGAGCCATGTGTGCTAAAGCAATCATAGTGCTTTTGGGAGACTGACATGCAGGGCTCAAAATGACATAAGAATTGACATGAGGTAGGTGGGTTGAATCGACTTTATAGAAGGTTTTTGAAGATCTAGCTGTGGAGAAGGTAGAATTTTATTCTGTGGTAAGTGGGGAAATGTGCCACACAGGAAGTTGTAAATTTCTTGACCTACACGTGGGAATATAATTCTATATGGGAGACAGAAGGAAGGAAGGGAAATTGTGCTGTTTCAAATGTCTTTATTTGAAAGACTTTTTTTTTGTAGTCAGAAGGAAAAGAAAAAGATATTTGAAAAAGAGGTAAAAGTGACAGAAACTGGTGACTGATCAAATATAGTCGGTCGGGTAGGTGGTAGTGAGGGAGAGATACTAGAGCTACTAGTGTGGGAGATGGACGATTTGAGACAGTGTTAAAGTCGGAAAACAAATTTGAACCTTGTGACTTGTGTGACTCCTTCTGTTATTGCTTATAGCAAGAAATGGGAAAATGCAGGTCAGGAGGTCAGGAGAAATGTTAGGGCAGATGATAATGATTTAGGGAGTACCCACGAGACAAGGTTATAATTGAATATGTTTCAGGGGATGAGATCCATGAGGAGATTAAAGGGACAATATTAGTGAGGGAGAACTATATATTTTAACAACTTCATTCAGATATAATTCACATGCTGAACAATCCATTTATTAAAAAGTATACAATTCAATGACTTTAAAATATTCAGGGTTGCCTAACCATTGCTACATTTTAGAATTTTTGCTTCACCACCCAAATAAACACTGCACTTCTTATCCATATGGTGTTGAACCTTCGATAGGGATTGTATTGAATTTTTATATTTATAAAGATTTATTTCTATTTATTTATGCATACAAGAACTGGAGTAAGGCCTGAATTGCAGGGGGTGAGAGGATTTACCAGAGACAGAGTGAGGAGCAGAACAGGCGATTCTACTGAAATTCACTGCTGAGGGTAACAGCGGGTGAGGCAGGAGAGGTCTGCTGCACCATGTGGGTAGCTCCCTGGCCAGGGATCGAACTCATGCTGCAGTGGCTGGTG